CGAAACCCGTATACGTGTCGTGGATCTCTGCTGTTTACATGCATTCATTACGGCCGATCAAGCCATCACAAAACACGTGTTTCTTACAAACCAAAGGGAACCAGAAAGCGAAAGCGGTGATATGACTTTATTCCCCAAAACCGTTCTAGAACCTGCAAGAGAAATTTACCAAAAAATCCCTCCCTCCTAATTTCCCAGTCAGTCGCTATTTTCGGATCAGATCGACAGCAGAAGAGAGATCAGTGGTCTCTTAAAATATTCTACGCCTTAACTGTCCACCCACGTCAATAATACATCTGATGTTTTTTTTTTTTTTCCAGCACTTTAGGTTATAATTTGAATTCCCTATCAGCCCCCAAGACCTGGAAAAATTATTTTGGTATTTGATTGGAAACTATGTGCAAAATTAGCCATCTATCATTCTATGTTCTGCAAGCAAACTATCATGAAGTTGGTTTTGAATCTATAACTAAGACTTGGAACACAATTCTTCCGCAGATCGTGATCAGAGTAAGATAAAAAATCAAAGGTTTTGGTCGCACTCAACAACAAATTCCGAAAAAAAATTTTTTTGCCCAACGCTTACAGCTAGCTGACAGATTTTTTTTTTTGTTAACGCGATGTACGTTTGCAGTTGACTTGTCATTTTAAAAATATCGTTTCATCGTCGTTTGCACATATTATGCAATAATCACTAGTTTTACCTTTCCAGTTAACAGAATATGTTTCGTTTTGGAACCACTGTGTACCGGCAGAAACTGTCAGTTGTATCTGTTGTATCCTTCTGCCCTTTAGAAAAATGCCCGGAACGCGAAAATGTCGCGAAAACGTTCGACAGCAACGTGCTATCTCGAGTGTTAGCGTGATAAATTCAATTATTTCCACCAGATCGGGAATGGTGTGCCTGTGGCACTCTTGAAGAGGCCTGAAGTGGGTGTTATATTGTGGCATTGTTGGCATCTTGTTAAACAACTTCCATTTCCGTTTTTTCTGGAAAATGACATCTATCGTGATATGTTAAGCTAAAATAATTTCTTGGGTTCATCTGATCATTGCAGATATGGCATACTAATCTAGTAACAATTCTGCAGTCGTATATTCAAATATCGTTCGAGAATTATTTCCCTCTCGATATCGCCAAGTTAGCTCCCAAGTGACCTGCAAAACACCGCTGTCCAAGATTGGTTTGTACGTTATGTCAAAGGAGTGTCGTGTCAAAGTCGTCAAAGTGTATTTTTCTGGATATGATATTCTGCTCATGCGTAGTTGTTTCTGGTTCTTCCCTGGAACTCATGGTGGGTCAAATCCCTTGGTTGTCAGAGAAAATAATTTATGTCTATACGTAAACTACTCGCTTATCACAAAAAAGTCATTTTTTGCCTGTGTCTCTCAGATTACAATTACTTTCTCGCCAGTTGAAAATTTATCTGCCCACCACTTAATAAGTCATCATACTTTGTCCAACCTTGTCAAAAGTAGTTTAAAGGTTCGGTTTTGAGAGATATCCTGGAAACCTGCCTTCCCGCCCTGGCTTACAGCTATGGCGGGAACTGGCATGGCTCTCGAATGATTGAATATGGCGGAATGAATAGAAAATTACGAGGAACCCCTCTCCGATTGATGCTTCTTTAATTTTTTCGTCCGTATCTATCAATGTTAATCACTAGCTTCTTCAACCTTTCTCCAAATATAACAACCTGTGTTCATACCAACTAAAACTAAGTCAAGTTGAAGCAAATGACAAGTCCTAACTCCAGCCCACTTACACTTATCTTATGGATCCTTTACGTGCATTATCACGGTGGAACCTCTTTCCGGTGGGCCCTCCCAGGACTAGAAAAAATGTCCCTGGATAAAGAAGTTCCTTCTAATAAATTAAATGTAAAAGATACAACGACTGTAGTGGCATAATTTTAGTAAAGACTTTAGTTTAGACGCGCCCCTTGAACAAGTGTCTTAAAATGAGGTTTCAATACCTACCTTGACCCGTTCGACTAAAAAGAGGAAAGAAAACAAATTGAGTTATTCTGCCGTAGCTTGTCTTCAACTGGAAAAGAAAACTTTTGAACCAGGCAAGGCTGACATATCGTGGAATCCTAAGGTCAACTTAAGTTCATCATCTTTTAAGTTTCCCTCTTGGTCGTGTGACGATCACATTGACCGTGTTCCGAACTTGTCCCCAGGGCGCTAATCCCTTCAAGCCTTCATGATGTTCTGAGGAAAATTGCCTCAAGTACGTACGACGCTAACCGATATCTCAATCCTTGAAATCTCACGAGTGAGCATGCAGCATCTTATTTCCTCTTACAGTAAATACTCACGAGTCATTCATTAAGGTCATGAGAAGAAAGGAAATGATTGCCAACCTATGGATTCTCCTTGTCAGCACCAAAAGAATCATACAGAAAAGAGTAAGGAGAACATGACAACTGATCTTATGGCGTAGAGTTGACATACATTATAGCACGAGAGCTATATCGTGACCTACTTGATCACATTCTTCTCATGAAGGAATTGGGACACAAAGAGTGACAAGAGAGGCGCTATTTCAGTGTCCAGAACTTCGAAACACCATATTTCTTATAGAAGCTGGCTATTTCTAAGATGCTCAATGCCTCTGCTTTAAGACAAGGCCTTTAAAATGAAAACGTACTTTTATTCTCATGCCTTTAGAGGCTAATTCTTGCAAGAGAGTTTTGTTTTCAGCCTCGTTTTGAATGTGAGGGTTTTAAAGTCGGAAATGTCCTTGTACTTCTTCATCTTCATCCTAGGAGGACGACGGAAGTAATTTCACAATCCCAACTTCAAGCGAATAACTTGGCTGGTACATCGGTTTTCCAGAGAAACGCGAGGGCTCTAGCCAATTAAGATATCGCAATAGATATCCAGTTTTGACCCTTTAACTCCCGAGACCTAATTTTTAATTCCCCATTCTAGCTACTATTCTTGAAAATTAATTACATTTCTTGAAAATTAGTTACATTTCTTGAAAATTAGTTCCAAGAATTAGAGTGAAATCAAGATAAAAATTTCCGACTTTGACCTTTCAGTGTTCTCATTGCTTACTTGCTAGATAATGTGTGGATATTGAAGGGAGTAGTTACATGTTAATCACTTCTGGGAGTTAAAATTGGGGGTTTGATGAAATTTTCAACATGTACTCTGATACAATTGACGATTCACTCGTCATTTAATTACCATAAATTCTTTGGTGTCCTTCGCTAATAAAATAATATTCTTAATTAAAATCTTGCTTAACGAAAATAATTGTGATTAATTTTAATCCTTTATATAGCTTCTGTGATTTGCTCTGTTTATTGGAGTTGTCGTTTCCGTAGTATAGCACGGAAGAAAAATAAAAAAAAACAACAACAACAATTTTGTGGAATACGCAGAGCAAACCGAATCTCCAAACTTGTTTTCTTGTTTAAAATAATTCTGTACTGAAACATCAGTATCAGGTATCTGAGCAACTGCATAACTATCCCAGCCCTCGCCTAACTAACATTAACCAACTTGTTGTCAGTTGATTGTTGCTGGGTCGGAGTAGTGGTGAGTGCGCAGTTGTTCAGATACTGACTTTGATTTGAGGCATCAAATGAAAAAATGGTCTCGCCCTTTACTCCCCGGATCTTGATATTTCTCCCTTCTGGTCAACATCCATTCCCTTGTAGACGAGTCAGGAGAACTTCATGTTACAACAAGATGTGAAACCAGTAGGGGTTCACGCCACTATTTGCTAACAGGATAATATAACAAGGTGGTTAACTGAGAAATCGGAACAACGATTTGCACATGTTAGCAAGACCCAAACAATGTTCGATCTTCAGCTCTTAATTGCAGAAACAGGATGGTATACTAACTGTTTTGGTAAATTTGAGTTACGCTCTGTAATGACGCTGATTGTGATCAAATCGTTTGCAGTGAAGCGCGATGTGCGCTTTTTAAATTAGTTGAATGGATTGTTTGGTCAAATAAACTTAAATTAATGCACTCTCCATTGCGGAAGTAATTTGTTAGCCTAAAAGTTAATTATCTGTAGTTCTATTACTATGCGATAAGTTGTCTTTCTCAAGGGCAACTAGAAAAACTGAAAACGACAAGGGAAGATTGTACACTAGACACTCGACCTTTAACTAGCGAAATAATTATTATCTTAATAAGTTTGTTTGTTGAAATCTGCTTGAGCCTCCTCTATACTTAACCAGCTATCTGCCTTTGAAATAGCAAATTAATGTAATGAGAGATATTATCCGTATGTCGTAAAATGACCCCCTCCTACGATCACGATTCTCTTCACCCCGCGCGGAAAGATGCACTGGGGCGAATCGCGGAAAGCAGAAAGCAGAAAGGAGAAAGGAGAAAGCAGAAAGCAATTTACAACATAAGAAAACGAAAAAGGTTTTCTTAACGCCGCAATATTCTGTTCAATATTCTTCCACAGCCCCTTTTTTTGTCAAAATGAGAAAGAATCCTGATCGCAAACAGTCCTAATTTATAAAACTAAGGAGGGCTTCACAGAATTGAGTAGAGAGAAAAAAATACATGTTAAGAAATTATAGTTAAATACTTAAACGTATTTGACCAGTGGCTGAGTAAGTTAAACTAAACTTCATCCTCAGTTCTTGGTGATAAATTCACATCAAGGTGACGTAACAACGTGTAACAACACGCAACCATCACTTTCTTGTACAAGAATCATTGTTACCTGCAAAGTGAAATGAAATTCGTGCTTCATATTTTAGTACTGATATGATAAAAACCGTGCTTCTCAGAGCAAGGATTATGACCTACCAAGTTACACTGCGAACAAGTATCTCTAATAAGCCGACACTGAGCCTGAGTTACTCTCCCTCGGAGGGTCTCGGATAAATGGCTTACAGCTGTGTTGGAGCAATTTTCAACGGAGTCGAAATTAATCCGGGATTTCTTTTCTTTTGCTTTACTTCGTTCAGAAATCCCGCGCCAATTTCTCAACCAATCACGTTCAAAACTAAAACCAGTCGCGACTTGGTCACTCGTGTTTTCCCGCGTTAAGAACTTTCTGTTTTTACTTTGAATTCTCATTGGCTCCTTGTAATATTTTCCTATGCTCTGAATGGCTCTTGTGATTACTTTGGCTTTGGTTTTATAAACTTAAACGAAAAGCGCTCTATAAGAGCGATACCTTGAACACTTTTTAACACTTTCTAACTTTCTCATTTGCAATCCGTGATAATCTCCTCCATCCTCAGCCATCTTTGTTTCGTTTTGAGTATTTCTTTACCTTTTTCCCGTTTGTATGTCTTAGCAAACAGCTTTTGGAAGGTTCATTTCCAATTAATGAAAAGAGGCCATGAAATCCCCTATGTCTGACTGATATACACCTTCTGAGTTAAAATAAGTAAGCTGTTTTACATACAAATAAGGCAAAGATATCCTACAACCAAAATCAAACAAAATCCAGTTTTTCATAATTGCTCAATGAACAAGGTAACACCCGAACGTAATACCAGCCTCTAAGCAGCAGCCTCTTCTTTTTTCTCCTCTTCAGCTTTGGGTTCCTCTTTTTCTCCTCCTGTTTTTTCTTCTCCTTCCTTATCTTCCGTTTTTTCTTCTCCTTCTTTATCCTCTGTTTTACCATCTTCTTCCTTCAAAATTCAAATCAGGTTAGCAGTCTATTGATAAAAATTAACCATAATTAAAGTTCCTACCAGCTTAATGACTCCTTGTTGCTGGAGCTTGTCATGTATATGTTGTAGTTCAATTTTATACTTGGTTCAAATTTTATTTTCCTTTGTTCTTGGTCATGTTAATGTATGATAATGAGAGTTTGAAACAAAGGAAAATAAAATTTGAACCAAGGATAAAATTGAACTACAACATATACATGATTTAACTAACAGCACTGCTACCCCTCCAAGCCAGGATTCTAGTTCATACCAGTTACAACAGCTTTAGCATTTTGTCCAGCTTCCCTTAGGAATTGCTGATAATCATTTAAACTCCTGCATGGGTGGAGTGAAGAACTGTGAGTGTTGACCATCTTGCCCAAGAACACACCACACTGGCACAACAATGGCTGAAACTTGGACCTCTTAATTCAGATTGCACTACGCCAACCAGCAGGCAACCTAAGCTTTCCTTTCATTGAGTTTATTTTTAGCTTGCGGCATACCTCTGTGGGTGCAGGTTCAGCTGGTGGCTGTGGTGTGGGTTCAAGTGTTGGCTCCTTCATGGGTGATATTATTATTTTACCAACATTCTTACGCTGGTGCATTCGCTGCATGGCCTTGCCAACCTGAGGAAAAATAAACAACTAAATGTCCAAGATCTGTTATGAGAATTATTCAAGCCAATAAATAGCTCCTGTTTGCATTATGGAAAATTTTCTTAAATCTCCACCCAGCATTTGCTCCAAATCAGAGGGGCCTTGAAATTTAGAGCTGTGGCAGGATAGTGAGGAGAAAAAGCAGATAAAGAGTAGACAATGTAAAAGCCCATCTTGTCCTTCAAAATTCATACCAAAATAATAAAGAGGGTAAGTTTCTAAAGAAACTGTGGTGCTGTATTGGTGGGGGTAATAAGGTAATTTAGTTCTATCAACTAAGTTGATATTGTAAATTGGCCTCCAAAAAGACTGAGTTAAAAAGCTGATGTTTCGAGCATTAGCCCTTCTTCATTTGCTCACAAGATATGTTCCATTCCCGATTTTAGTAGCTCTGGGTGACTATGCATCTGTGCCAAGTGAAATCCACATACAGTCTTGCTGTCTCTCAACAGTTGCAAAGGATTGAAAGTTGCTCCCTGAAACCACTGCATTTTGAGAGGAAAAAAAAAATTCAGTAAAATAATAATAATAACAATATATAACTTATTAATCAAGCGCTTGGTCCGTACTGTCAAGGCTTCGGGTCAATATTCTACCAGACCGAGTGCTTATTTTTATCAATAGCGAGGTCTGTACAAAAAAGACCGAAGGCCGATATTCTTCCAGTACGGTCCCAAGCAAGCTTGGTTAATAAGAGGTTTATTATACGACTGAAGTTCAAAGGGACACGAGTGCGGTATCATTCGGGACCATTCAGGACAGTGCCCAGTCCAATACTGAGATAATATTGACCGGAAATAGAGCACTTTGATTGGTTGATTTTAGTTATTGGCCTTCTGACTGCCCAAGTCGTGTGATAAATAATAATTATAATAACTTTTATTTATATAGCGCTCATATCTTCAATTCATGGTGCTGTACAACACTGTACGGGGGACTTTACCAGACTGCTAAGCAGTTTACAATCAAATAAAGGCGAATATAACAGATGCCCCCTCCCCCCAATTCCCAGTAAACAGGCCAGACCACATCACAGTAATCTCGTGAAATGGGTTCTTTAAATTAACTAATTAATAGATGTGGGAGACGGGACTTCCATTTATTCATCCCTATCCGAGAAGACTAGAATATCAAACCATTTCTTGATTGATGTTATAGAAAGGTAGCATATTCTTCTCAATTATTTTAAGACCCTGAGCGTTGGTCCAGCCGGGGCTAATGAACCCTTGACCTCCCACACAACAGTCTGGCGCTTAACCAATTGAGCTAACCGGGACCAACAAGGAATTTCTCCTTACAATATAAAAATGTTTTCAAGCAGAGAGGTAATGAAAAAGACGGAAAAATATCAATGAGGTAGTGAGGGGATATTGCTTGACTTAACATCAAATACTAAGAACTAGAATCATTAAGCAACATGTGGGGGATGGTGGAGAAAATGAATAGTTAGATTTTGGGAGAGAAGTGTTGATAAGCTGTTTATATGCAACACAGTTCATGCTATCTTTGTCTAAATATGGCAAAAAATATACAAGCTAGTGAGTTCTTGGCTCCTTAAAATAAACTACGATATTACCAATGTATCAACACCAACAGAAGCTGAGCAGAATGTCAAACTAAAAGCAAGCTTACATTTTTTGCTGAAGTAAAGACACTCTTGGTTTCAGTGACTGCACTTGCATTACCTGCCCAAAGAATAGCTCAACAAATTAGCAATCAACATTGTGAATAACCCTACCACTCATTCTCAGACATGTTGAGAGATGTGTGGGTGTGCAAAAACAGATTTTTGACAAACCAAACACTTTCTAACAACAATTTTGAGAATGTCCCTTGGTCAGACTCAGGATAAATATTTGCCAGTTTTTATTTTGGAAAAACTGATATTACCATAGTATTATAAAACAGCAAGACAATTGTGAGCAAATGCAGATGTTGTTCACAGATGAAATTGAAATCTGTCAAAATTATTACCTAGCATGTGATTGATCTAAACAGGTCAAGTGAAAGAATATGCTACTGCTAAAATGGGTCAATATCGGGGATAAACCCCAAGTGGTATAGTACCCTATGGCAAGTACCATAAAAGTTTTTGTTTCACATTCAATTCAAGAAGAGAGGGCATTTAGCTGTTGTTACAGAAAGTGGTTCAAGTCATACCAGAGAACACTGAAAAGTAAACCATCCCACACAGCAAATGGTAATTAAGGTATTTGAATGTAAACATTGTTTCCTGAGGATTGCAAAAATATTTGATGGATAATAAGCAAAGTATAGCCTCGGATTGGTAATGAAATACACATGTTTACTTGTCCTTAGATATTATCTGTTCCTCAGAGCTCACAGCTGTCCTTGAGCTTCCCTCTTGGAAAGCTGTTTTTATCTCAGATCATGTAATGTCCACTTACAAATATCTGACCGTGTTTTCACACAAAATGGAGGCTATTGTTTATTTATCCTCTGGCATTAGAGGCACCACTAAGTGCAATTAATACTTCTCAAACTTTCTTTTAAATGTCTTGCTACTGGTGCAACTTACCAAAGCAAACAATGATACCCATAGGCCTTAAAAGATTGTATCCTTTCTTGGTATCAGCACCACCAAGGGAATCAAGAACAATATCCACTCCCTCTGGACAAATCCTTCAATGATGAGTAAACAGTTTTGTTTTAGTGCTGAGTTCAGCAAAGGATTAATTTGGATTTGGATCTAGATTTGAAATCCCCAAATGTTTTAGTTTCATTCAGATCTCCTTATTGTAAGCAAACAAAGCAAACTATAACAGTTACTATAACTACATCATTAAATTCTTTTTTCTTAAGAAACTTTTCCCACTTCTTCTCCCCATTGAAGTATTAGTAACAGCTGAGGATAAAAATGTTAAGGGAGGAAATAAATTCATGACGACTTCAGCATGGATAAAGTGTGTAATTCTGCGAACCCCAGTGGGGTTCGAGCATATGTATGAGCTCTGTTACCTAGTAACGCGTGAGGTATTTTATGTCACATTTCACTGGGAGTCTCTGATGGAAGCTGTGTAGTAAAACCTGATTGGATGCGGTCGGAGAAACTAAGGATAGATCGAGAAATGCTAAGCGAACTACCTTAAATTTGGAAAGCTTTGTTTGCTAAGTGGAAGCGTGTTACAGTTCAATGAGCAGCTTAGTAAATGGTTTTGATCTGTGAAACTCAGAAAGGTTTCGTCCATGAAAGATTATGCAAATTCACGTCTGAAATGAAAGTGAACTGTAATTTGAGCTTTTTGTTTACAAAAGCTTTGGTGATATTTAGAAGTAAAAGACGGTCTTCCTAAAGTGAAGACATTGTTCACTGAAGGGAATTTTATGTAAGTAAGGGGTGCTTATTTACTGGTCTTTTTTGTTTCGATATCTTGTACCGTTTATCTTGATTTAGAGCACAATTCCATTTTGTTCTTGTAGCCGAACGTAAAGAAACAAACTGAAGGTTCTATCCCTGATCTCTACTGGATCACAGACGTGGTGATTCCACTCCGCATTCCAGCCTTCAAAGGACACGATTGCAAAATTATAGTTCATTTTTTTAACAGTGCACACACACCAAACTCCTTCTTCATCGACTGCTTCAGCTTTGAAGCCAACAGTTTTTGGAAGATATATCTCATCTTTTATCAACTGTGGCTTTCGCTAAGCGATCACACCAGGTTTGCGATCGAAAATGCCGGTCAACTTGTTTTGATGAATCTGCAATCGGTCGCTAGGATACTAAGTGGTGTCCAGTATCTCTCGGTAGTTCTAGCGCCTCGTTGCACATGTGTCGATTAAAACCTGAATTCTTAATGAATTACACACTTTGTCCGTGTTGAAGTCGTAATGAGTTTCCTGTGAGGTGAACCCTGTCAGAGTTAAAACCAGGACAGGTGTTGCCAAGTTTTTCACTTGAGTACGACACAAAAAGTTTGGTGACCAAGTTTTAGTGCTAAAATCATGTTGTCATCACGGGGAACTGGATGTACTCATTTCCAGTGACCTGTCATTTGACTTCTTTTGGCAGGCTGTTACATTTGCTGGTTGATGACCCACAACTCTTGAGATTCAGTTATCATTGGAAACAAGGTAGCTTGCCTGTGACAATATTATTTTATGGCCAACACCCTCACTCAACTGATAATCGCATTATCAAGTTGTGTTCTTGAGTAAGACACTCAACCACACAATACCTCATATCAACCATAAATATTAATGGGTACTAGCTATCCATCAGAGAGACCTGATAAAATCATGAGGGTAACCTGCAAGAGACCAGCCTTCCACCCAAAGGGTTGAGCAAGACTCCCGGCCACACCCTGATTTCACACTTCAGAACCCATGATAGGCCCTATGCTGCAGTTTTGCACAAGACTCTAATAGCCCCTTTAACCCTTGAAGCAGATATCGTCAACCAATTTAAGTGCTTATTTACAGCTATACAGGACAGTTAAGATGAAACATGCACAGCTTTAAGTGGCTAAGTTGTTGAAAGTGCAGCATCAAAATTTGACAGAATACCAGATGGAATCTCCAAAATCATGTTTGACTGTTTAGTTGATCCTTTTTTCAGTTTACTTACTTCTTTACTTCTTGGACATAATCCACAGTCCTGTAGTCAATAGCATGATCTATTCCATTTGCAAGGATGGTTTCATGCTAATACAAATACAATCAAAAAGAAAAAGAGAGATGTACATACACAAAATGTGTAACATCTTTACTTAAAAGGATGAAAGGTATTGTTCTAGTTACATCAAGGCAATTGTCAACTTTATGTAGATAAACATTCCATCTAAGGAAATGTACTAGATTAGGCTTTTTTCCCCGAGGAACTTAGGAGTTATTTTATTTATCTTTTTTCTTTTCAAGATGTGTTTATTTCAGTCTGTACATCTACATTAGTAGACAGAACTTATATTGAAAGCAAAAAATCAATGGGTTTCAGTCAGATAAATTAAGAAACATCGCCTGTGCTTGGGCTTGTCATGGGGAAACATTGTGCAATGCCACGCTCCAAGCACAAAATACAGGATGATGGACGGATACCTCATGTGATCTGCTGCATTTTACAGTGTCACTGGGACTTTAACATCAGTGTGGCAGAAAGACCAATAAGATCCAAAACATCTACAGGGTTGTGCTACATACAAAGCTAGAAATCTTGAGCTACAGTCTGTACCTTAAAAGCTGAGGCTGTACCAAATGTTGTGACACCTTCTACAGTTTTGCAAAGCTGCGCCGCTGCAATACCCTAGGATATATCACAAAATTTAACAAAGATGAAGAAAAACAATTTATAAGTCCTTCAAGGATGTAATTTGTAATTTGTAATTTGTAATTTGTCAGCCACAACTGGCCAATTAATTGTGGAAAACGCATTGAACTCATCAAACTTAACCGATGACTGGATGTACTGGGGGTTGGTAAAGAGGAATGATGGGCTGTGCTCAGACCTTTTTTAGTGTCTTCACTTACTCCCAGGATGCTGCAGGCCATAGGTTACTCACAAGTACATTTCTTCACCACAAAGGCCCTTGAATGGCATTTGAATTATTCTCACTAATTCATAACACAACCCAAAGCAATTTTAACACCATCTGGGTATCACTTAATGATTTTAAACACTCCAGGCCCCTTATACACTCTCCCTTTTGAAACCCAAGCACATTCTTACCACACCTCCAGCTGCCATGTGAATCAAAACACTTTTCCTTTGACCCAAACTTGCACAGAGGAAAAGCATAAAATAAGCTGTCAGATATGTAATAGGGATTGCTGCTGCATCTTCAAAACTCATACTATCTGGGATAACAAAACAACTCTTTGCTGGGACACAAGCATATTCTGACCAGGCACCTTGTCCTGTTAGGCAAACCACACGGGACCCAACCTGTTGGAAAAGAACAAAGACATGCAGGGCTCGACACTAACTTTTCAACTTACTAGCCAAGTGGCTWGTGACATGTTAGATGTTACGACAATTTCAGTCTGTTTACTAGCCCAACTGGCTAGTGGAAATTGAAAACCACTAGCCAAAACTGAATTTCTACTAGTCTGTGGCTAGTGGGCTACTGTTTGTGTCGAGCCCTGGACACGTATTTTTACATAAAAAAAACCCTATGCTCTAAATGTAACATGGGAAAAATAAAGGCAAAAGGAATGGTGTGTATTTGGACTCAGTATAGCTAAGAATTGTCACCAATGTCATTCTAAAAAATATTGAAAAATGCCTTTCTCTGCCTGACATGAGCTTTGCCAAAAGAGTCAGATGTTGCATGTCCTTGATATCATAGCCATTGGTAAGGCTATTATCAGCTGAGTGACAGTGGGGAAAGGCTCAAGTCTGAAAGTCTTACATAAGCTGAACCTAAAGCAAGGGGAACAAACCTTCTACAGAAAACCTTGCATGGTCCTCAAGATTAGGTATTGAGCAAGGCACTAGTCATGCTTTGGTTTAAGTTTTTGAATCAAATGGAAATTTAAACACAATCATTAATATAGGAGTACAGGCAATCAGCTGAACCAAAGTATCCTAATAAAGCGGGTAAACAGATATTTAGTACCTTCCTCAGTTGAAGCTAGAAATGAAAAATACTCTTTTTACCCTAAAATAATCAGATCAGAATTAAGGCTTAAACAAGTTTGAAACTGAGATCCCACCTCTAACTCAGTTGCACCTTCTCCAAGTTCCTCCACAATTCCAGCACATTCCATACCAGGAATGAATGGAGGTTTTTTGGGACTAGGATAGATTCCCTGGCGCTGTATAATGTCAGCAAAATTAAGGCCACTGCGTGATAGGAAAAATACAACACCAATCACACTCTGTGGTAAAGTCATTCTTCTCTCACAAAATTAAAAAAGACAAGACAAATTGAATACAAAAAGTAGGATGTAGATTGCTCTAAGGATATGCAGCTGGTTTAAAAGTTTGATTGGTTACAGATTAACTAAAAATTTTTTCCATGATTTGTAAGAGGCAAAAACAAAATATCCAGATTTCACTGAATTACATCTGTATCACATGGAATTTTAACACAAAGGCTGATGTGGGTTCCAAAAAATAGCACCTGATAAACCTAAGCCCCAGAACTATATAGATTGCTTGATTTGTATCTCAACTATTTTGGACGAGGATTTTCTGAGAATTGCAAGTTTTTCTTGGAATCTCTGGAAACTCCTAGGAATTCAACTCAAAGTCCACTACGATATTTTATTGGGATTGCAAGTTAGGTATCGGTCGTTCTTGGGCAAAGTTTTCAACTTTGCAGGCAAAAAAAACACAGAAAATTTGAAACCACAACTGGAAAGCAAACTTTTGGTTTCAACTATGAGGGTCGCACTAGGTGAAAAAAATGTCAGTGATGACACTTTGATAAACCGGACACAAGTTTATCAGCGTGTTATGGGTAGAGAGCAGTGAGCTGTAAAAGGAAAACAAATGTAAAAAAAATGCATCCCGTTGAAGCATTGTTAACAACGATCACGGTGATGCTTATTCTTCTTATTCCGTTAAATCACGAGCACTTTTTTATCTTTCGTATGATCTATGAAAGATGGGTTAACGCCTGTTTAACTGTTTTGACTGTCGCTATGATGAGAGCGAGAAATCGACGTCAGCGAAGATTACTTCAAGCACCATATGCCTGGTCAGTTCCACGACCAGTCGAGTCATTTGCTGTTTACTGACAAGCGATGACAGTTACCGCTGTGATAGCTATTGTTTAGCCCGAGTTTTCCGAAATCTACCTGCCCCACCCAAGCACTATGGCATCTTTGATGTTTTGGCTGGTTTTCAAAGTTTTTGCGAACTGAAAAAGTTAGGGTAGCATTACGCAATGTGCCCCGATGACAGATTTTTACACCAAAGTGACCACATTCACACCAAACTTTGCCAAGTGCGACCCATGCATAAGACCAAATCAATTAATAATTTAAGTCAAATTTCAAACTAAACAATTAAATATTAATTATTGACAACCACTTGTTACTAAAATTAGAGTTAAATTTATTTAATAACGCATCATTGCCAGTGAGCGCATCCAAGTTCAAAATTCAAAACTTTATAAGTGTACTAAATGTAATATAATTAACACAAAATCATTGTCAATCTCTTGAAAAAACTGCGCGTAACAGTCAACACTTGACGGTGTCAAATGATTGAAGTCGGAAAGATAATACCACCTTTTCAAATGTGTCACGAACTGCATGCAGCGTGAATAATATTATTACAGAAACAGAAAAGGAACTTTTAAGAATAAAACCAAGGAACTGCGGCAAAAATGAAAATGGTTTACAACAATTATCCCACGTGCTTTCACTCTCGGACACATTACTTTCAGTGGTCAAACACGAGATTATTTTTAGCATCGTAATTTACCGCCCCTCCCACCGTTTTCAATTCTTCAAGAGTCTTGAATGATTTCTTGCTTCGTTGGTTAATAGTAGTATGTATTCCCGGGGAAATATATATACCCACTGATATTTAAATGTGGTTATCCACAACAACAAGTGAAAACGACGGTAGAAAATGAAAACAATATACACTTGCCTTGCATGAACGCGAATAACAACTTGTCCATTCATCGGCTTAGGCTTTGCGTATTTCTGCACTTCGAGCTTGTTGTAACCACCGTATCCAGTGAGCACAACACATCGCATAGTTTCCTGCTCTGGTTGAAGTTCAAGATGCTCTGACTTGTCCTCTCCTTTCTCCTCCACAAGGTCCTCCGGTGGAGGTGATTGCTCAGCTTGTTCAGTACTCTCCGCCATCTTCGCAAGTTGTCCAAAGATCACATAACGCGATTATGACCACCCCTGTGGGAGGGGCGGGGTGGGGAAGAATAAATGTTCGGGTACTTACTCGAGTCGCGCCACTTTCGCGCAGTTCATGAAAAATTATGTTCAAAACTTTCTCAAAGCATCAAAAAGATCTTGTAACAAATTTGCATAACTGATCAAAGTTTTTCCCTGCAAAGACACAAGTTTACCTGGTAAAGAACTCACACGCTTCGACAAGTAGGAGCACGTACGCGAGAGAAAATCCCGCGTTTTCCCTCACGAGTTTCTCGCGAGTTCACCCACAGAAGTGAGAAGCATGTAGGAACTTATCTAAGATGTGCGCGTGATAATTTTCAATACCCTTCAAAGCAGGTCAATGCATTATGTGACAGACATTAGCACCAAGGCTCGAGAACATCATGGACTGGGAGAATTGTTTTGGATACCCAGAAAAGAAAGTAATGTCCGCTAGTTCATCAGCTGTGTGAGTTATCTATCAGATCTTGGGAGTTACAAGTTAAAAGCTCTTTTTCAATTTAAAAAATTCAATTATGATTTATCAAGGATTCTCCTCTCTAGAGCATAGCTAACACAGGAAACAAACAAAAAACAGCCCCAACTCACTTTGATAACTTCACAGGAAAAGAAGACATAAAAATAACAAAATAGTAACTTTTATTTCACAACTTTTCAAAAATGCTAGCTCAGCTAGCTAGTGTAAAACCGCATAGGGAATGTTTTATGAAAACATTTTACAAATTTGAAAAACTTCTCTCTTGTGCTTTTTAACTCACACTTGCCAACAAACTGTTTGCATGTACCAAAAAAGTTATGCTTGTATCAGGAGCTTAGTCTGTCACAATTTCTAAATGTCTATCAAGTTGACAAAACTTCTACCAATCTAAGAAAAGGAAAGGCTTATCTTTTTAAACGATTATCCTTTCTCTGGGATCAATACTTTTAGGAGGGGAGCCCAGAAGAGGAGCCTATGTCAGGAATCTTCCGGATGCCTACAGGCATTTTGGAATTATTTAAGGAAATCCTTGTTATAGTCATACAATATGATTGGTTCCTCTACAAGAAAACTCTTGCATCAGACTCCAAACAAGTTGGCAAGTGTAAGTGTATTAGGCTCGCAAAGACCAAACATAAGTGAGACGTAAGAGTCTGGGAGCTAGAAGCACATGTGAATTTGCCTCTGAAAATCCAATGCTTCCCTGGCTCTTCTCCAAAACCTGAGCACATTCACGACACATCACACTTAGTTGGCTATCTAGTTCGCACTTATCAATAAGAAAAATATCTCACACTGATTAAAACACCCCTACCTATAATTTGTTAAGAATAAATGAGACCTATGTTGATAACCTTTGCAATGTTACACCTTCATATCGGTGGCTGTAACAGGATAAAAGACATCTAAGAGCAAATTAAAATGAAGCAATAATCTGTACAAGTTCTATATATATTGCCTCAGTCTTTCAGTTTGATATGCTGATCTTATTTGATAATTCTACGTTATGGTGATATCTATTTGTTTATTAAATATGGTAATATTCAAGGCCCTGTGACTGATATTGAATTTGTTGGAAAAAATACATCACCTATTTTAATCCCTTTTTGTATTTTTTTGTTAATAATCAAAATTCACTCAAGGATTGATCTATGGTAATCACCTATAATGATATGACTCACTCAGTTCTCCTTGAAATTCAATTACCAGTATTCATGCATCAGATATGGAAATTATGGACAAGAACATGCATACATAGATTGGTGGGATTTCTCAGAAGAGGATTAGAAAAAAGAAAATTAAGAAACAGATTATACTGGTCAAAACAAAAAAATAAATTAAAATTTCTCCAAAGAGGTAACAATCTGCTCTTTAACTGATAATATCAGACAAGTGTATCACCATGCAGAAAGGTGAAAATGAGAAAAGAAAATAGATCAAAACAAAACTCAATAATGTAGACAATTTTCAAACTCTGAACAAACAAAAAAAAAGATTTAGTGAAGGAATTTACATTGTGTTTTATATGAGGGACAGAAGATTAGAAACACACAAACAAACAAAAAAAAATCCCACAAACTCCGACTTTTAAGGAGTAAAATTAATCTTCATCCTCAGGATCAAGTGACGATGAGGCAGTTGACAGTGTGCGAGACAACCAACTTGGCCAATGTTCTATGGAGTAGCCAAGATTCTGCACTTGTTCAAAAAGTTTCTGCAAAAAAGATATTGATCTTTCATTTAACACAGCTCTTTGAGTAACAATGTTTGATTATTCAGCACCCTAAACAATAAGCAGTGCAATGTTCACATACTGCATGAGATTTAGACAGGATATTTGAGGATTGACATTTTGTAAGTTTTGCTGTATCATCATGATAATTTATGTGATTACAGAATCTGACCAGGTGGTGCAATGAGAAGAAAAATTAATAATGATGATGATGGTGATGATAACAATGACAAGAACAAATGATGATAAATTGCATAATTAAATCTCCCTTTCTGATTTGTTAATGAGGCAAAGTATATTAAGCATGGAATTGCAAGTTGAAAAACAAAGCTAAGTGATATTGTTTCACATCTACATCTACATAATAACTATCCTCAAATTGATGTTTTCTTTTTTTCTTACTTTTGTTCAATTGTGTGATTCAAGGAAAATCCATTACCTGACTTAATTGTGAATTCCGCATTAAATCACTCCTTAAAACCACTATCTCACTCATTGTTTTGCAATTCATGTACTATTTGTTTTTGTGTGCAATTCTAGGAGGAATTCCCTCATCAGGTTATGAATTTTCCCATAGAATTCTCCCTGCAACAATTCTATATAAATCATCTACTGCAATACTGTTTCTTCTTATCATTGATAGTGATTATAATAATTGTTCTATAAGGGGTACTTTTTGATGAGTATTCCAAAACCAAAACCAATGTAATCACAAAGGCTATAACAAAAGGAAAAGACCTTTAATTAAGAGCCAATGAGAACTCAAAGTTAAAAAAAAAAACACCAACTGCCTAAATTGCAGGAAAATCCAAGTGATCAAGTTGTGACTGGACCAATCTGGGAGAAAAGTAACACTCAAATGAAAATATATCATAATTATAATTATTTTGGTCTATCTACATTTCTGTAGAGGTATGCTTTACAATATCAATATTAGGTATGAAATATTGAAGGCTGCGCTTAGCTCACCGGTGGTTTGAGGTGGTTTAAGTGGTGCACTCTATATCCACATATACCCATGTTCAGTTTGACACCAATTACAAGAGAGAAGAAATATTTCTAAAAAAAAAAAAAACCGTATTATTGTACATAAATGTATTATTATTATTATTATTATTATTATTATTATGTATTATTATGTATTATTGTACATAAACCAGTAGTGTAATCTTTATCACAAAATTTTGATGCACCCATTGGTTTTATTGTTGTTGACCACCTTTGCTTAAAAATATAATTCCTCACAAACTGTAAAACTAAAATGAATATTTCTGACACTGTGTTGCTACCCTCTTAGAAAAGGAATCAAATAGAAGTCTATGTGGCCCCCAGCACAAAGTCCATGTTCTAGGAGATTTCTTGAAGAGATATTTTTGGGTGAATTCCTACATTTGACGCTTTAACTTCCAAGATGATTGTTAATTCTCCCCTCTTCCTGTTACACATATCCTTGTACATTAGTAACAGGAATGTGTTGTTAGATGAAGATAGCAGCTTTTACCTGATAAGTACTTGATAATGTCTGGATATGAAAGGGAGAAGTTTTACATTACATAATCACTTCTGGGATTTAAAGAGTTAAGATTCACCTTGGATAAGGCAATTTTATGTAGTATATCAGTGTGGAGATATACCCTGTGTGGCACAGTCATGCTGATAAAGATGACAAATAGGATACTTTAAAAGCATCTTTCCATGGCACAAGGGTGTATCAGGGCTACTCAGAGGGTTCACCACAAAGACTACCACACTTACCTCTTCTGTTGATACAGCATATCGCTGAAGGTCATTGAATTTACTGAGAAGGTCTGAAATGTAATCATCTTGTGCCTAGAGGATAAGAAAGACACACATCAGATTAACCACTGAGGCAAGTCAAAATTAATTCAAATCTGAATAATCAGTAATTATCCTCTGAAACCAAATCTGTTTAAGTAAACTAGAAACACTTTGACAATATGAGACTTGAAGCTCTTGCCTTTTATACCTTGCATCGTAATTGAATAAGAATCATTGACAAAAATACTTTATTACCTTCCTGATATCCTGATATCTTTTATGAAGATCAGACATTTGGGCCCTCAGTGATTCTGCCTCTTGAATTTTAGTCTGTTGGAGTAAGATCGAGTAATTTCAGTTTTAAATTACTGAAACTGATTATCAAACTTTTTCTCATTCCAAGACTTGGCTGGGTCATCATGTTGCCTTCATGGGCAAAACATTACCCCCACTGCTCCTCTTCCCACCCTGGAGAGAAAATAAGTATTGGAAAACTGTAAGGGAAGTCTGAGATAATGCTGGGAAGAGGGGAAGGGGTGGGTGGGAAACCTTTCCAGACAAGCATACCATCCAGGGTGAGTAACAATTAATACCCCTGGTTGCATCATGTAACAAATTCTGATAAGCTTTACCTAGATGGGCCAACCAATCTGCTTGAAGGCAGACTTAAGGTCTTACAAGCCTTATAGTCTCTTTTTGTTGGAGCATATTGTGGTTTCATTTGCATAATATTAACTGGAGTGATCAATCTTCCTGAAAGGAATGTTATATTAGCCCATCACAAGCTACTCCCCATTAATTTTTCAAGTTTTTTCAAAAGTTTTGTTTTAATTCCTGTAAAAAAAAAAGGAGTTTGATCCAAATGATGGGGGTCTTTTGTGTAAGTGATAATTTCTAAAATTATTTATAACTGTACCTTAGCCAAATAGTCTGCTCTGGATAACTCGGCCTTTAGGTCTTCAACTTCTTGCTGATACATCTGTTGAGGGAGGAAAACATACTCAATTTGACACATCACCCATATGGTGGGCTGCCTAAAAAATTCATAACTTTAAACACTGATTTATCTTTAATGATATGCACAAAATAATATTAGTTCATACTTGCTTACTGTAATAAGATATTGAAATAACTATTTATAATTGAAGTCATACAGCCCCAAGCCCTTTCAAGACCTTAAACTTTCCACTTTGGGAGCACAACTTTTACTTTATGGGGAATAAACATTTTAACTGTTCTCAGCACATTAACGACATTCTTAAGGGTCCAGGAAGAACAACAATGCAAAAATGTCTTTATTACAAGGCCTTTCTTACTTCAATTTGAAACCTAAGGTTATGAAAACCCATCAAAAAGATTGTAGAGAAGGAAACAGAGAAAACCTTGACTATCCAATAACATTTCTATTAGCCACCATTACTAGCTTCCTAAGAAGGAATCTACATTCCTAAAAATACAGACCAACTGGAAGTACATTCTGAAGAGCAAAATTTACAACTGTCAATATACATTTTATTCCATAATCACTGACTGAGCTGTCTGTTAATCAAGGATGATTTTCTAAACTTTTGTGCCATTTTGGGTGGAGAATTTTGACTGTTGGAGATCTTCAAACGTGTGAGATACCTCACACAGTTATCTTTAATAAGATCACTCTAACCTTTAATCAATTGATTAGCAAAAGGTATAGAAAGAGTGGATTATACCTCTAAAGAATTTTTGTACATTTTGTCAAGTTGACTTCTAGTTTCAGTAAGAGCCTGAAAAGAATAGACACTGGTGAGTACAATTGAAAACAAGGCAGCAGATTTTCATGAGAATATCCAAACCCCTCCCTTCTGGAAATTCAGCCAATTTCAATCCATGAAACTATGTAGCCATGCTTTAGTTAACTGATTATATATACTTACAGATTACTCCATAAAGCACAATGCTAAGATCACTTTTCAAAACAGGTCAATATTATAATTTTATATATACATGTGTGTTTCAAGGACATTAAGATTAAGATAATATGGTTTCTAGAAAATACTACTCCATAACCCTTAATCTCTCACAAGTGATCAACATGTAACTTCTCCTCGTGATTCCAGCCCATTGTCCAACAAAAAAGCGATGAGAACAGACAAACAGACAGGTGTATGAACTAGAGGGTGTTCTCTTCAGTTGGTAGAACACCAAATTCTCCTGTCTATTCTACAACAATAAATATGACTGTCACAATCAAAAGAAAGAATTATTTGTTGCATCCAAGATTCTTGGAAGTTAAAGGGTTGAAGTGCTAGTAACTATCATCATCTCATACATCCAATTGAGAAGTATACATACATATAAATATAATTATATATGTACATACTTTCCTGAGCTGGACAGCCTTGTTTTGTATACCTTCATCAGTTTTATATTCTTTGAAAAAAAGTGAAAAAATAAAAAGGTAGAAAGAAAACAAATTATTAAGTATTCCAAACTTCATCATATTTAAAAATTCCAATTCACAAATGAAAGGATTAATTGTAGAGTATATCATTCATAGACAAGAGACTTTATAATCATGGTAAAGTGAACATAGTATTGTCTTACCGTGTTTTACCCCAAAAATCTCAAATTCAATTCTAGAAAGCTGTCCCAAGTTATGAACAAGTGAATCGACCCTTTGATTGACGGCCTCCTGTGATTGTTTAAACATATCCATCTGCCTCTTAATTCCCACTTCGTTCTTTTGTTTTTCTATCACCCTTGCAGCCTGTACAGAGGCCCGCTCAGCTTTCATCTCTTCCTTCAAAGTTTCCACCTCCTCCTTAGCTCTTCTCTCATTCTCTAAAGCAATGTTGAGTTGATCTTGTAGCCTCTGGGAAGTAATAATGGACAGCTGACCATGAATTAAAATCAACTTTTAAAGCATAAATGTGGTATATAAGTACAAATCTGTCTAAAGTTCATTAAGCTTATCAATAAAATCACTGTGACAGCTTCCAGGGTGTCTGTTCACTGACAATCTGATAAGTAAGACCATACTCTAAGTTTCTCAAATCCAGGCTAATCGTGCATGTTAACATGATGCCTCCCTCAAAAAGATGGCAGCTGTCTAGGATATCTATGGGTTTACAATCAGTCCAAGTATCTACCAAGGAAAGAGACCATCTGTAACAGGGAAATACTGCAACCCAGCCATGCAGAACCTTAAATTCAGGAGTCAACACTGTCACGTTGCTGCACAAAGAATGCTTTAGAACATTATATGACTTTTTGTTTTCTTAAAATCTAGCCTTGTTTCGTTTTGATAACATGATTATAAAATATCCTTTTTGGTTGGCCGCACAAAGAATTGTTTCAGTTTAGTTTCCTTTACGTTAAAGAAGTATATTGAGCCTTTTTTCACTAGAACATTTTAGTTTTAAGGAGTTGTCCCTGGAGTAAAGAGGAGTTTTATAGGAGTCCTTCCAAGTTTTTTTTAAAACTTGGAGTTTTCTCATCCCCGGAGTCAACATCAGATGTAATTCACAATCGTTGAGTTCCTATTAGTTTTTAGTTGTGTTTTCTGTCGTTATATTTGTAGTTTAGCTTGTTTCCTTAGCTTAGACAAATCGTGCATTCCTTTTTACTTTTTACCGCAAGTGTTGTAACAAGTCGGCTAGCCTAATTATATAATTTAGTTCAATAAAAGTGTGTAAGAGTCTGCTGTCCATCCTGTACTTCACTGTGGTTGACCTGGCAAACCCTATTGCGCTACACCCCGTGTCTGCCATGCTGGGAACACGACAAACACTGACTGAATCAATGGTAAAAAAGGAGAGTGGAAAAGGCAGAAGAACACTTGAAAACCACTCCAGCCTGGTGAAGAACAACTGCTACAAAAATTTCACAAGAACTCATTACAAAGAAGTTGCAACATTTGGCCTGTACTTGCCCTTAAGAGACCAACCCCGGCCTAGAGCCTGAGGAGCTTATTTAAATTAATATCAGTGGCAGTTAACTTATTGCTATTTCACTAATTCATATGGAGTATAGAAAAGCTCATACAACTATAAATCATTTACAACTAACCTTAGTGACTTGCTCCACATTAGTCTGCTGTTGCTGTAGGTTTTGGTTTAGATGCTGATTTTCATCCCGATAATAACTCACTCGAGCTAGCTCTGTTTTCAAGGAATTAAGTTCAGTGGTCTGGTCACGCAACTGTTGACGCAAATCTGCTAGAGTATGCTCAAGGGATTGACAATAGTCCTGAAGAGGAAAGAAACTGTTTTAAACAGTTTAGCAGTGGATAACATTAACATGCATAAATAGAAGTTCCACAATTTCTTGGTCATAAGAAATGAGCAAAAAACTTTTATTAGCAAAATCCATACACAAACTGCAGAATCTCTAACTCTCTAGACAGCATGGAAGTTGAAGCAATCTACTCAGAAGAAACAGCAGGACTAGTGGATGAGGAGGAGATGGACAATGAATTTGACACTGACACTGGATGAACAGTAAGCCGTATTTACTACACACCAAAAACAACAAATGGCTCAGTTTAGGGGCCACCACATAAATAAAAGTCAATGACCAACTTCAACTTGTTTGTTATTTATTTCTGCATGCAGCATCTTGGCTTATAAATGAAGAAACCTATGTTTCCTTTGAATTCGCTGTTTTGGAAAAATTTTGTTTGGAAAAACACTTGGCGATAAGCCAAGGACCCTTCTCTAGGTCAAATTTTCAAGATTTTGGTAAAGTATTGTGAAAAAATCGTTCAGCTTATAGACGAATAAATAAGGTACACTGACAGATTTCTGGAACAGTGGCTTATGTTGCTGCAGCCTTGATATAATTGATCATCACAGTCAAATGTCTTGAGGAGTTTTTTCAGTGATAATGTGCTGGGTTCAAATTACCATTGACAATAACTAGATTAACATTCAGTTTTCAGCCACTGGTTTAAAGGCCACACATGATTTAGAGATTTTTATTACTATATACACATCTAGATCTCTTCCAGATCTGAGTCATAAAAAAGTCCAGCAGAAGAACAAGCCTGTTCTGAGATAAATACCCACAGTATTCAAAACATCTATTTACAAATTCAATGTGCTGCAACTCATCTCCTTAATTAATATTCCCTTAAAAAAGAAAATCTATATCCATACAAAATTAATTAATTCTAAATCAGTAATTTATGGAAGCAGGCCTCAGCAACACATACTCAAATGAACAAACCTGGCAAGCCTCTAGATTTTCACTGGGTTGAGGAGGGTTGTTTAGTCTGTAGAATCTCTGAACTGGATCACTATAGAACAGAAAACAAATTGAACAATATAAAAAAGGAGGAAGGAAAAGTTGGGAACCCCCTGTTTAAGTTGCTATTNAGGGCATTTAAACTTTTAAAGATTTTTTTATTCAAATTCCCACGTCCAGGGGACAAAAATTTTGTTCCAATGCCCCACCCAATTCTTTTGTAAAAAGCCAAAACCAGTGACTGTATTTCTACACAATGAGCAAGCTTTAAAACGTAAACCTTAGCTTATAGACCTTTTCTTCTCAGCCACTTGCTTGCAAAAATGATCTATATACTATTTACACTTGTGTTTTGCTGGAAAGACTTGACACTTCTGGCTCAAATTCCCCACCCCAGCCCAGGCAAGGTTCAAATTCCTCACCCCCCAAGGTTAGCTGAGAGGGAATGTCAAAGATTCAAATTGATTGGCCCATTACACTGTATCATATGACTATACTGCTATTATCATAAAAAGATTTTAGCACTAAAATTTCTAACAACAAATTAGAGAGTCAAACTTGTTTTAGGCGGTCACCCATGGGGAGTGATGTGGTGACCGTTAAATACACTGGTTGGCCACTCAATACAGGTTCCACAGAATAGAGGTGTTATTAAAGAAACAATAACAAAAATGTCATTTTCCTCAATAATTGATCACAAAATGTACAAAAACCCACTTGAAAATACTAATAACATTGGTTTTGGGAGATAAGTATGGATTAAATTTTATTTGAAAGATTATTCTCAATTTTATTTGAATGGTTTGGACCAGTCATTATTAGAGGGGGGGTAGGCTGGGGCAAATGGGGTGGGTGGTCATACCTTTTTGTGCACCTGAAAATGGGGGGCTGCATAAAATTCTGCAACCCTTTCTGAGGGGTCATGTATTATTGTGCATTCCAGTTTCCATTCCACAAAAAAGAAACAACACTTCTATTTGCTTTAAATAGTTTGGTGAATTTTATTTAAAGTGCCTATGACACCTACTTTTTTAGCGTTAAATTATAAAAATAAAAGTAAGAGGGTGTCTGCTAAGATTTGTAGGTGATTCTGATGCGTCTTTGTTATTTTACAAGGCAATAAAAGTCCAAAATTGTATCGAACTTAGGCTCCCTGTATCTCTTTGGCCGCATTAAAGAGTACTGGAACCTGTGATTTAATGGTAGTAACACTAAGTTTATCAAAGAAGCAAAGTGAGTGTGGAAGCTACTGTTTACAATCTTTTTAGCCAAAAAATGCTATTTCGATGTGTAGTTTGGGGTTTTTCGAATACCCGACTCGATGAAAAATATTTCTCTCCACAAGATTCCTACTGTGACATCATGGCACCCAGTCTCTCTTTGCTCGGCCAGACATTTTATCTGCGGATTATAGAGCTTGATAAAAAATTCAGAAAAGGGCAAAATACCACAAATGTTGCGAAAACATGTTTAAGAGTCATTATATTGTGATGTAGAATAGAAAAAAAATAAGTGTCATGGGCACTTTCAGTTGTATTAAAACTGTTTTGGTGGTTGAGAGCGGGTCATCTTATTTCATGTATAGACTCAAAGGGAGGCCAGATTATGTTATGCAGTGGCAAGAACAGGCCCACAGGAAATTATGTATAGGAAAATTAAAATGCACCAGCCCACCCCCTTTAATAAATGACCAGTCCCTAAGTGACCCTTCAATGCAGGTGGAAGACAATAGAAACAGGCTGTTGGGACCCTATAGAGGGCAACAATGAGTGTTAAAGGTGACCGCTTATCATCATCATCATCATCATCATCATCATCATAACTTTATTAATGTGTCTACAAAGATTTAGCATTGCTGCTAATTGGGGACACTTAAGATAAGTTACAATAATTATATCAAAACTATATACAGGATGAATCAAGATAAAAGCTATTCACAAAAGGAACGAATTTTAAAAATATATGTATCAGAGTAAAACTATAAAAGCTAACAACAGTTAATATTCAAGTTGGACACAGATGACATTTGCACCCACTGCCCATGTCAATTAAGGTGCTTAAATCCCTATTTCTAAATTAATGTTTTTTTAAAAGTCTTAATAAAAGTAAAAATTACTAACAGTAATATTAAGGGTAAAATTTTGGGACTTTGAAAACCAATCACTTAATACAAGGCAAATGCTTAAAATGCTGCTGGTACTACTCCATACAGGTTCAACTGTACTATATGGGAAACGTGATATGATTTGTCACAAGTACATAAACCCATTTAAATCCCATGATATGATTGTCGATTCTCTCATCTAGCTACTACACATGTCCTTGAAGGAATTTCCCGCAAGATACGACTTCTACCTGATGAGTTTGAGTATTCTCATTACCTGTTTGCTGGATAATGTATGGATATTAAAGGGAGAAGTTGCATGTTAATCACTCCTGGAAGTGAAGGGGTTAAACATTATGTTTTGAACATACCTGAGGACGAGATTTCGATGGCCAAATAAATTGTTCGTAAAAACTTCAAGACCTCTTTGGCGTTTGTCAATAAAGCCTGTAAAATATCAAAACATAGTGGCTATAGCTACAGCAAAAATGAGTTGTAAAATAGAATTTATGGCTACAAATGTATGACAAAGATCAGTGCATTTTGGCCTTTCTTGCCTCCACACAAACTTGAACAAGCTAGCTATAAAAGAAAAAACAGTAGCAGGATTAAGTTAACATTTAGTTAGGTCAGGACAAGTATTCTACCGTCTTGTCTAATTTTAGCAGTGGGTGCTTTCCAACAAAGAGACACCTAAAAGAGAATCTCAATGCGGTTAAGCGTTAACCGTGAAACAGCCAAAATAATTAGCTGTTAGAGGCACAAAAGTTGACAAAATTTAACTGTTGGTCGCAAAAAAAGAGTTAATTTAAAAAAAAAAAATTATACATATTATCTAAAAACTGAAAGGGAAAAGAGGAGGGCGTATTGAGAGATGCTTCCTGCTTCCAAATCCTACACAGGAAATGTTTTGACGCCGCTAACTTTGCACTTTGAGTCACAAACCAAACAGCAGAGCATACACCTCAAAAACTTCGTTTTCAACAGACTTCAAACTAAGGCATTTTTCTACTCTGTGCAGCATCAATTAAGTAGTAATTAAATTATTAATGTCACGAACAATATTCCATGCACATATGAACACAGAAAATTAAATGAATCGTCGCACTTTGACGATAAAGTTACTAAACGAGTTTGTCACGAGTGTTGTAAACACAAATAGACATCACGTGTTATCAAATTTGAGGTTACCCTGAGGAAAATTTACTTTAAATATAACCAAGGTGAAGTATAAGCCATATAAACGAGCCTATGCCTCTGCAAGTTCCATGATACATAAAAATTTAGTAAAGGAAATTGCACAGATCTTTACTATTTGTTTACAAACCTATGTGTGGGCGGCTGAATCGTAAGTAGTTTTACTCGTTTTAGCCGGGACTAACCCACCTTCATCAAAGTTATCTTTGAAGAAACGTTTCCCAGGCAAATGCAATCGAAATTCTGGAAAAAGCCTGCGTAACTGAATGTAACAAAAAAAAACGAAAACAAAAAAAATTACGTTATGTACTAAGCTTACAATAAATGAAAAAAGGTTACGTATCAACCAAAACACACAATATTTGCTTTGCGCTGCAATAATCGAAGTCTTTACAATATACAACAACTCCTTGAAAATTTTCATTTGTATCTTAACTTAAGGATTCTAAATTATCACCTTCTTATTCAAAAGAACAAAGTCTCCATAACGTCTGTAGATAATCCAACTCTTTTGGCCATTGTTTACTTCAATCTTGTAAAGCTGTGAAGAGTCATAGCAAGGACATATATAAGCTTATAAAAAAGCTGACTGTGCAACAAGATAAAAAGCAAATGCAATATATCGAAGGATCTACCGGTTCTACTCACAGTAAACTTTTCCCTCTGTTCCAAAGTTTCCTTTCCTAGAATATGCGAGTCAATTCGAGGCATAGAAATCGAAGAACCCACAGAATTTGTGAATGTGTCGCTGAAGCCGTGGCCATTTTCTCGGGGGCTTATGTTATTCTGTACTTCCGCAGTATCTCTCTCCTTTTTAAACTCAACGGGGCTAACCATCCGTCGAGACCTTCCAAGAGAAGTTGAGGCTGTAAGAGTATCGGACATCTTGTTGTGAAAGCCTTAGATCACGACTCTTTGCGACACATAGCAAATAAGTCAAAATTCCTTCAAGACTTGCAAGTTGGCTGTGACAGTCTGAGTTCTAGTTTCCCTTTCTGCGAAGGCCCCCCAGTGTCCCCCAGTGTAGTTATCCCACGAATGACAGGTCCCTCAAAAGGTTGAAGTATACATATACAGCGGTTGGTTGGGGAGAGCGGGATTGGATCTTCCATCAACAGCATTTAAAACAAGTCTGAGCATATGAACTTTGTTCATACAAATGTTAGAACCATGTATTCAGGTGGCTCTTGTCACACCCACTAGTTGCAGCTCCATGGGCCTAAATTATAAACAAGCACCACTTTTCTTGGAAAGACATAACTTTGGGTTGGAAGTAGAGCCAGACTGGACCATCAAAGTACATGTAATGGCTAAGTTCATGAGTCACTGGCCAAAAACTGGTGGTTAGGAATGTATAAGGGTTTACTTCCCTAGCAGACATCTTTGGGAAATTATCCTACCAGATGAATCAGGGCTAAAGGAAACTACACCTTCAAGCTTTGAATGAATTATGAGACAAACTCTCAATGTCTATCCAATGATTATTACCTCACCAGAAGCAGTAAATCATGTATTAGAGCCACTGGACTGTTACACAAAGCTTTGTTTATCAAGTGTCTTTCTCTAACAACAATCCCAGAATCCCAAAAAGAAACTCAAAGCCAAAGATCTAATCTTTGAAATCAAAATTATACGTACACAACCATTTGAACAGTTAATTTATTTATGCCCGAAGAACTCTTACATTTACAAAATTTATTGTCTTTATTAAAGCTACCAGTATGTAATATACTCCATAAACTATTAAAATAAAATAAAAACTGATAACAGAGCATATGCACATGGCATCAGTATACCAATATTGGTGTATGCCTGCCAAGACACTGAGGGAAAAATTAATATGTACTTTACTTTCAAACTGGTTTATCTTTTATTCTACCTTTTTTTCAGATTTGACAGGCTTGTCAAAAGATTCTGAGTACCTAGACTGTGATGCTCAAAACTGTACCACAAGCATTCGGAATGGCTATATGCTTTTCACTGGCAACTGTGAAATGTGCTACAGTAAACACCCGAAAATAAGAACCTTATTTTTTGGCAGTCTGGCAAAAAAGATTTCTTGTTTAATGGGGTAGTTGTTGGTAATTTTGGCAAAACAGGTTCTTAATTAGGTTCTTAATTGCTAAGAGGGGGATACAGTTGTCATTGTTTTGCATATATATCATAAGAATAATAAATAAGCTTTATATGGGCTAAAATTATATATAATACTGTATAACTATAACTTTTAACTACTGTAACAAGTAAATAATCAACTCAACAATATATTGGGCATTTTGTGTAAAATTATCTTCTATTTCTTTTACACACACCAATAAATTGTGTCAGTAAGGGACTGGTCATTATTTATTAGG